TAACAGAGTTAAATACGCTTACCATAAATTACCACTTGGCACCAGTACCTGAGTGAAGCTCCTAGGACAGGCCCCCATAAAACTTGTGACGGTAACGCGTTGGTGTTCGGCTGTTTAAGGCTAGGGGTATGGCCTCGTCACATAGTTATAAAAAAAAAATAGAAAAACTGGAACTTCGTCTGTGGTAAGGTAAGGAGAAGACACACAAAACACAAGTAAAACTTTAACAATGAAATTTTAATGACGTTAAATAAATCAAAACATGAAAATAATGCACAAACAAATTCTTATAATAAAATCAATGAATCAAAATAATAAGAATTCTTAAATGACAAAATGAAAAGTTACGTTAAGGCAAAATAACAAGAAGTGCAATACAACAGTAAGTGGGAGGTGCTGGAATATTGGCTTAAAGCCACCACCTCTCTCAGTACACGCTAACGTCTAGCTGGGAGGAGTGCTGGCTACGAAAGCACGGAACATTCTGAAGACTGATGTTGGGGCGACCCCAGACATCGGGTAGTATTGGGGGCGAGTGCAGGTGCAGCCAGACCGGCGACCAATCAGCGGAGCCGTAGCGATCAACGGGTAGTTTGGTGGTTGGAGTTCGAACAGGTGGCTGGTTGCATACGTTTCTGCTCACCCTGGCAAGCCTTGCTGGTGCTGGTGTTGTTGTCGTTGTTGGACATTTCTTCCATAGTCTTTTTATATAATTGTGAAGACGTAATTTTGGAGGGAAGAGCAGGCTCAATCTCTTGAAGGAGATTATCGTCACAGTGGAGAGAACCTTTTTTCTGTATTTCATTATTTAGGGATAACCATTAATTCTGTCATTGTAAATGACATCAACAAAATAGATTTATTTTCTCTTGTATTTTCTGTAATGTGCATTATGGAGAACTAAACAATATTTTCTAGTTTGGAAGCCATTCAAGCAATTGAAAAGAGCTAGTTAGTCAAACTAAGATATATATATTTGTGTAAACAACTATTTTCATAAATTTTTATAAAAAAATATTACAATCCTCATTCTTACCCTAGCTAGCTTCTTGCATATAATTAAAAATTGCTTTCCTAAAAAATAAAGTGATATGGACTAGTGTTCCAATTAAGATTTATGTTTCCTTAAAATGCACTCTAGGCTCTAGCCTAATTATAGGATACAATTTTTTAGGTGCATTGAGCCGTGCAAAGTTCTCCATTTAAGTAATGAGTAATGTATATTGTTTACTAAATGAATCCAGATTTCACTAAATGAGCTTAGATTTCACCAAATGAATTCAGATTTCACTAAATGAGTTCAGAGTTCACTAAATGAGTTCAGATTTCACTAAATGAGCTTAGATTTCACCAAATGAATTCAGATTTCACTAAATGAGTTCAGAGTTCACTAAATGAGTTCAAATTTCACGTACGTCCGAGATGCCTAGTCTTTAGTAAATTAAGAACGAATTCACTCTTACCAAAGTAGAGAAATCGGCTAATAATTAGTATAATTGTATTTTTTCCTAATAGGACCTAGAATCCTGCGGATCCTTAGAGTAGATTTTGTAGTAGTAAGTAGCAATAATATCAGTAGTAGTAAAAGTGGTAGTGGTAGTAATAATAATAGTTGGTAGTACTAGCGTTTTTACACACACTCGGATTGTGTTTGTGTGTGTGTTATTGTGTCCTAGTCTTTGATTACACCATGGAGCTTTAAATTGTGACCACGGGGGCAAGAGATTTGGAAAAGGAGAGTAGACTATAGGAAAGAGGATTACAGGAGGATAAGGGGGATATCTATGATATCTAAGAGAAGTGCAGTGGGAAGAACCAAGACGAAAAATAGTGCAAGATGTGATGGCCTTAGTCAAGTAGAAATGCAAGGAGGCCGACGAGAGTTTTATACCAACAGTAAATGAAAAAAAAGTAGGATGGAATATAATAACTTATGGCTTAATAGACAGTGCCAGGAAGCAAAAATGAGAAGCAGGAGGAAGTGGAGAAAGTAGAGAAGACAAAGGACAGAGGACAAATAGGATTAGATACAACGGAGCTAGGAACGATTACATTAATATAAGGAGAGTATCGGAAAAGAATTATGAGAATGATACTGCGATCAAAGCGAAAAAACAACCAAAATTACTTAATAGTCATAAGCAGGAATATGTCGGTGAACAACCAAGTGACAAGACTAAGGAAAGCAGAGGGGACATATACAGAAAGCGACAAGGAAGTCTGCGAGGCACTGAATGCCAGTTTCCATGGAGTGTTGTTCACAACCGAGCCTGAGCAGCTCCCATTGTTAGAAGAGATGACCCAAGATGAGAGACTATAAAGGATATAGAAGTGACAGCAGAGGAGGTAATGAAACAGCTGACAACACTGGATGAAACTAAAGCAGTTGGACCAGATAATGTATTTGATAGACACTACATCATAGACACTACAATAGGCAGCGCAGGCCCTCAGCGTGCCTCTGGCAAGGAGCTATAATGAATCCAACCCGTTCTCCCAAATTTAATAAGTCAATATTGACTTATTAGTTGCGTGCATAGGTGACAAACTTAACATAATAGTTTCCCTTGAAAAGCTTCATAGAAAACACCGACCTTACCTAACCTACTTAGTATGTTAAAATAAGCATCTTATAGCTTCGTAATTACAATTGTTACTTAACCTATTATAGGTATAGGTTAGGTAATAATTGTAATTACGAAGCAATAAGATGCTTATCTTAACATACTAAGTAGGTTAGGTAAGGTCGGTGTTTTCTATGAAGCTTTTCAAGGGAAACTATTATGTTAAGTATGTCACCTATGCACATATTTAATAAGTCAATATTGACTTATTAATGAATCACTGACGAAGGGAGAGTTGCCCAGTTGCTGGAAGAAGGCAATTGTGGTACGAATTTTCAAGAAAGGAGACAGGGAAAGTTCAAGTACTTTACATTCCCTGTAAAATACTTGAAAAAATAATCAGGTTAAGACTTGCTGCACACCTAGAGAACATTAGGTTTGTAAACAAACATCAACATGGGTTCAGAGACGGGAAATCATGCCTATCAAACCATCTGGAATTCTATGATAAAGTAACAAAAATAAGGCAGGACAGAGAAGGATGGGCAGACGGCATATTTTTGGACTGCCAAAAAGCCTTTGATATAGTATCACACAGGAGACTGCTATTCAAACTTGAGAGGCAGGCGAGAGTAAGCGGAAAATCCCTAGCTTTGGTAAGGAACTACCTAACAGACAGGAGCCAAGAGAGTAACAGTACAGGGGGAGAGGTCGGACTGGCGAACTGTAACGAGTGGAGTAACGGAGGACTTGAACAAGCTGCAGAGATGGTCAGATAAATGGCAACTGGAGCTCAACACGAGCAAGTGTAAAGTTACGGAAAGGATACTATCTTGAGGTTATCTTGAGATGATTTCGGGGCTTTTTAGTGTCCCCGCGGCCCGGTCCTCGACCAGGCCTCCACCCCCAGGAAGCAGCCCGTGACAGCTGACTAACACCCAGGTACCTATTTTACTGCTAGGTAACAGGGGGCATAGGGTGAAAGCAACTCTGCCCATTGTTTCTCGCCGGCGCCTGGGATCGAACCCAGGATTACAGGATCCACAGGTCCAGCGTGCTGTCCGCTCGGCCGACCTGACAGGAATCCAAAGGGCCAGTACACAATTAAGGGAAACTACCTTCCTGTGACGATTCGAGAAAGAGACCTGGGAGTGGACGTAACACAAAATTTAACTCCTGAGGAACATATAAATTGGATAACTACATCAGCGTAACTACACTGACAAAAGTTAGAACGTCATTCAGAAACTAAAGTAAGGAGACATTTAAAATGCTTTACACTACCTACGTGAGACCAGTCTTAGAGAATGCAGCCCCATCATGGAACCCCCCCTTAAGAAACGCATTAAGAAACTGGAAAAGGCTCAGAAATTTGGGTCGAGGCTAGTCCCAGAAGTTACGAGGAATGGGATATGAAGAGCGACTGAAGGAACTGAACCTGACGACGTTAGAAAAAAGAGAGAACGGGAAGACATGATAGCAGTATATTAAACACTTAGAGGGGATTGACAGAATTGAAATAGACGAAATGTTCACTCGGAATACTAACAGAACAAGAGGGACATGGGGTGGAAGCTAGAAACGCAGATGAGTCAGAGATGTTGGAAAGTTTCTTTTAATGTGAGAGTAGTGGCGAAATGGATTGAACTAAAGGAGCACATTGTGGAAGCAAACACTATTCGTAGCTTTAAAACTATGTATGATAGAGAAGAAGGACAGGAGTCATTGCTTTAAACAACCGGCGGCTAGAAAGGCGGGATCCAAGAGCCAACGCTCAATCCTGCAGGCACAAAGAGGTGAGCGCACACACACACACACACACACACACACGCGTACAGTGATAGTATGCGTATGTGTGTATGTGTGCACATATGGTTGTATTTACCTACTTACCTAGTTGTGCTTGCGGGGGTTGAGCTCTAGCTCTTTGCTCCCGCCTCTCAACTGTCAATCAACTGGTGTACAGGTTCCTGAGCCTACTGGGCTCTATCATATCTACACTTGAAACTGTGACAGTTTCACACTCACAGTTTCAAACTATGTGGTGTGTGTGTGTGTGTGTGTGTGTGTGTGTGTGTGTGTGTGTGTGTGTGTGTGTGTGTGTGTGTGTGTGTGTGTGTGTGTGTGTGTGTGTGTGTGTATTTGATGACTTCCGAGTGTAGAAAGACTCTGGGTCATGGAGTGCTCCTATGACCTAATGTGCCCATCTAACGCATCACTTCCTCCCTCCCTCGACTCCTGCCTCTCCCACTGTAAGAAAGGGGACCAGGATGACGATGACAATTAACAAGACCTTAAGCTGATTCACGAAATAAGATATATATAAACAAACATATACAACAACGCAAACATAAAGTTTGTTATCTAATATCCAAGATATTGTCTTATTCACGATTATTCAGGATATAAAGTATATTAGTCATTTTTATTCCACAGAGCTCCGGATTTTTAAGAGAATCCCGAGTGACAGAAATGGACCGAGGGAGAGGGCAACCCAACACCTCGCGGGGTCAACCTAGGTCACCAAGGGGTCAAACTAGGTCGCCTGGAGGTCATTCTAGGTCCCCGAAGGATCAACCCAGCACTTCGCGAGGTCACCCCAGGTCACCAAGGGGTCAAACTAGGTCGCCTGGAGGTCATTCTAGGTCCCCGAAGGATCAACCCAGCACTTCGCGGGGTCACCCCAGGTCACCAAGGGGTCAAACTAGGTCGCCTGGAGGTCATTCTAGGTCCCCGAAGGATCAACCCAGCACTTCGCGGGGTCACCTTAGGTCACCAAGACGGCAATCTAGGTTGCCTAGGAGGCATTCTAAGTCCCCGAAGGGTCAACGCAGCAGCACCTCAAAGGGTCAACCAAGCACTTCGCCGGATAAACTCAGCACCTCGCCGGGTAAACTCAGCACCTCGCCGGGTAAACTCAGCGCCTTGCCGGATAAACTCAGCACCTCGCCGGGTAAACTCAGCACCTCGCCGGGTAAACTCAGCACCTCGCCGGATAAACTCAGCACCTCGCCGGGTAAACTCAGCACCTCGCCGGGTAAACTCAGCACCTCGCCGGATAAACTCAGCACCTCACCGGATAAACTCAGCATCTCGCCGGATGAACTCAGCATCTCGCAAGGTAAAGTCAGCATCTCGCCGGATGAACTCGACACCTCGCCGGATAAACTCAGCATCTCGCCGGGTAAACTCGACACCTCGCCGGATAAACTCAGCACCTCGCCGGGTAAACTCAGCACCTTGCCGGGTAAACTCAGCACCTCGCCGGATAAACTCAGCACCTCGCCGGGTAAACTCAGCACCTCGCCGGGTAAACTCAGCGCCTTGCCGGATAAACTCAGCACCTCGCCGGATAAACTCAGCACCTCGCCGGGTAAACTCAGCACCTCGCCGGGTAAACTCAGCACCTCGCCGGATAAACTCAGCATCTCGCCGGGTAAACTCGACACCTCGCCGGATAAACTCGACACCTCACCGAGTAAACTCAGCACCTTGCCGGGTAAACTCAGCACCTCGCCGGATAATCCCAACTACAAAACACATGTAAATCAATATTTATTTATAACTGTATATACATCTGTATTGTTCTCCGTTAATCTCCCTGTTAATCCCTTCTCCCTCCTTCTCTCTGATTGTCTCAGTAATTCCCTCTTCTCTTCTGATTTGTCTCCTCTAATTGTTTCTATGCCTGACCTTTACTGTTGTATGAACCATTCTCAAGCTGTTCATCTGTCTCCATCTCATGTTGTTCACCTGTCTCTTTTTTTTTTTTATTTACAAAGGCGTGTGAGTCTTCATAAATAAAATCGTTTAATAACCTCTACTTGTTCCATAAACGGCGAATTCCAAAATCTAGTTTTGGGTCAGGATCAGTTATTTCCTGAAACACAAAAAGTTTATCTGAGCTTCCATTCTATAAAAAAAAAATTATTTTTATTTTTAAGGGAATTTTTTTTGTTTAGGGATTTTTTTTAGGGAATCAATAAGTCCTTATTGATGCAGTTGTTGTTACTGTCCAGAAATTCGGTAGCAGGGTGGTTGTGGATGCTGGGAGAGCAGACATGGGCGAGTGATGTTAGGAAATCAGACATGGGTGAATGATGCTAGAACAGCAGACATATGGGGTGAGTGATCTTAGGCGAGCAGACATGGGTGAGTGTTCTTAGGAGAGCAGACAGGGGTGAGTGATGCTGGGAGAGCAGACAGGGGTGAGTGATGCTGGGAGAGCAGACAAGGGTGAGTGATGCTGGGAGAGCAGACAGGGGTGAGTGATGCTGGGAGAGCAGACAGGGGTGAGTGATGCTGGGAGAGCAGACATGGGGTGACTGATGCTAGGACAGCAGACATGGGTGAGTGAACGGAGGTCTGCGGGGCACATCGTCTACCCCTTACAAACTCCTCTAAGAGGTAATTGATAATATGTTTTACTTTAAGATAAGACGCGTTGCTGGTAGACAAATCATGACGCCGGTAGATAAGATCTGATGCTAACAGACGAGACGCGACGCTGGTAGACGGGACGCGACGCTGGTAGACGAGACGCGACGCTGGTAGATGCGACGCAACATTGGCAGAAGTAATGTTAGTAGATTAGTAGATGAGAAGAGATACTGGTTTATCACAAACAGTTAGGAAACAGGATCAGTTCTAAGGGACACCTGTAAATAATATCGGGGCATGTGGAAGGGAAAATTTGGCTTTGGAATATAATAAATATCTTCCCACCCCCGTCTCCCTTTCAGGACAACTCTAAGCAGTTCCACGACATCGTTAGAACTGTTCACTGTCGCTATTACCTGAAGGAGGTGAAGCGTGACAGAATGGTGCCGGAGACCTACACGAGGTGTCCTGATGGTGGTGGCCAGAGGAAGGGTTGGTACGGGTTGTTGTTTCGGGCGGAGACGGACTCGCGAACCAGTGACAGGTACGGCAATTTCACCTACACCATCAACTTCAATACCTTTGTTGACGAATTTATGAGTAATGAGACATACAAGATTTACCGCAGAGATCCGGTTGAGAACGAGGCAGCGTCTCTAAACAGACTCTTGATAGCTAGTCCAGATGATGGAGACATCATCAGAGGTTATCACCCCTACGACCAGGGGTCAGAAGGAGGCCCTTGGTACCAAGCCGACGGTATAAACTATTGGCGCAATCCCGCAACAAACGACCAACCCGAGGATGAGACTCTAGAGTTCCTCATTAAATTTTCAAAAGAAGACGTAGTGAGGCTGACTACGTCAGCTTCTCTAGCCGAGGGAGTGTGCGCCCACGACCCCCAGAACAGCAACACAGCCGCCACCAGCGCCTGTGTCAAGTACAAGAACCCAGAGAAACCCGCGCGTTCTCACTGGTGTCCATCACCCTGGAGTTTAGAGAGAGCAGCCATCATAAACAGGAGACTGGAAACAATTAGAGGAAACAGATATCAAAATGCTGCTCTGTTCATTATGCTGAACACGATGCCAAAAGTACTGAACAAGGTCCGCGTCAGACGAAGGAGATTTCAGCTCAACGAACTGCGGGAGGATCTCCTGCAGGTAATACGGGAAGTTGGGATCAGGCCTGAACGTTCAGAGGAAGTTAATAGGAGGAAAGGTGAAATACTGAGAGTAATGGAACGTTGCATACAGCGTGGAATAGCTGAGATAAGGACGGAACTGGGAATAGGAGAGGAAGAAAGAACACAACTGGCCAGTGACCAATTATCCCAAGTGATAGCCATCGTGGAGCGCTGGATGTTCAACATCATAAACGCTCTGTAAACTACGCCAAGATTAACAACACAAGAAAACAATGGTGTTTCCTGTCGAAGCGAGTAACAACTTTCTTACTTAACGAGACACACTAACTACTCAGTTGCCGAAGGACACAAATCACTAGTTTGGTTGTTTATAAGACTGAACATGCTCACGTTACAAACACACTCGTTACGTGTCAACTACCACTAACTACGGCAATTGCTCGGTTACTCCCCAGTTCCAGTCACCGCTGATTACTTAGGAGACTCGTTAAAACATCGTGTGTCGTAGTGCAGAACAGGAACGCAGTACGCACGCTCGCTTCGCAATTAACATGACCTGGGGTCGAATCTCAACCATGGTGGCATCACGTGGCACTGTTCCTTCAGTGTTCTCCGCTATACACTCACCAGTAATTAAGGACGTGGTTATAAAGCAATTGGTAGATCGTGCTCTGGGATCAAACCTTTCGAACTCAGAAAAGTTCGTGTGTCATCTAAAGTAAAAACAAAAATGCTTTGATATTTCTTTGTGCGCAATAAAATATGCTTTATGGCTCGCATCAACTTATTTATAAATATCTTTCAGTACATGATAGAACTCTCCCGCTTGTCCTCACAATTTGACAAGCGTCACATTTTAAGTGATTTAGAAGAACTACAAACCTAGAAATCCCCTTAACCTAAAAAGGCTGATGTTCATTACCCCGAAAGAACATGCATATTTATTGGTCTAAATTCCACTCAAGCATCTGAAGTTAATTATTCTAATTCAAACTCTCCAACTTGTTCCTCGAGTTTGAGTAGCTGTGTTCTGGCCGGGACTGTGTTAATCGCCTTCTGGTAGTCGAGAAAGATGGAGTAGATCTACCCTTTTCTAAATATTCCACGAGTCTTCTTCTGATTAATTTCTCTAGCAAATTTGATGACGATCTTTCGTTGCTAACGTTTCCTGTCTTCCTCCTTTTTTATTATGTATCTCCGTAGTTGGCGTTCTCCAAGCCTCTGGTAATTCTCCTAAAATTAGCGAGGAGTTGTGCTGAAGTTGTACCAGATTTTTTCTAGTTTTATCCGACATCTTGTTTTTATTAGTTTATTCAACCCATCCTCTCGGTTAGTTAATACTTTTTGGTAACAAAGTGCACCATAGTACAAATATGACGTAAAAGGCAACTACATAGTAGAATTTTGTACTATTCTCTTTTTATAAAGAGTCCGAAAAATAAAGCTAAAAAAAAAAAAACTTGAATACTCCTAGGCCTAGAATAGCACATATATGTACTATATAATGTATAGTATATATATCTACTCAGATAGCATGAATTAGGCCTAGAAATGTTAGGTTAGTTTAAGTTGTCTTTGCAACATAAATACAGAACCTTTTCCAGTTTGTTCAAACTCAATAGTACCGATTTCTACTTTCTAATTGGCCATTACGTCACATATGTACTATGGTCCTCATCGTTACTATAAGTACTAACTAAACGGGAGGATGGTCTGGTTTATTGGTCCGTTATTCATTCAGTGAGAGAGAGAGAGAGAGAGAGAGAGAGAGAGAGAGAGAGAGAGAGAGAGAGAGAGAGAGAGAGAGAGAGAGAGAGAGAGAGAGAGAGAGAGAGAGAGAGAGAGAGAGAGAGAGAGAGAGAGAGAGAGAGAGAGGGGGGTATGCTCGCAGAGTTACTTAAGTTGTCACTCATTACTATGGTCCCAAAATATATTCATTATATGAAAGGTCCTTACTTGGATACTTCATCATATTCTTAAAGTACATTGTAAAGCTTGGGACAGTTGTTATCTATAGATGAACTTTCAGTTCCAACGAGGCCTTGAACACCTTTACTGTGAACATCTGAGTACCTCTTACCGTACATGTTCGGTAAGTAGGTAATACCTCACGATACCTTGAATACAGTTACTTATCTCTTACCGTACATGTTTAATTGTCCCACGAGCCAAGCTGCGTCCTGCACGATACGTGATCCTTGAAGCCTCGAGTCGCTCTCTCACCCACACCGGCGTCACTGTCAAGCCACGAGTCGCTCTCTCACCCACACCGGCGTCACTGTCAAGCCACGAGTCGCTCTCTCACCCACACCGGCGTCACTGTCAAGCCACGAGTCGCTCTCTCACCCACAAAGGCGTCACTGTCAAGCCACGAGTCGCTCTCTCACCCACACCGGCGTCACTGTCAAGCCACGAGTCGCTCTCTCACCCACAAAGGCGTCACTGTCAAGCCACGAGTCGCTCTCTCACCCACAAAGGCGTCACTGTCAAGCCACGAGTCGCTCTCTCACCCACACCGGCGTCACTGTCAAGCCTCGAGTCGCTCTCTCACCCACACCGGCGTCACTGTCAAGCCACGAGTCGCTCTCTCACCCACACCGGCGTCACTGTCAAGCCTCGAGTCGCTCTCTCACCCACAAAGGCGTCACTGTCAAGCCTCGAGTCGCTCTCTCACCCACAAAGGCGTCACTGTCAAGCCACGAGTCGCTCTCTCACCCACAAAGGCGTCACTGTCAAGCCTCGAGTCGCTCTCTCACCCACACCGGCGTCACTGTCAAGCCTCGAGTCGCTCTCTCACCCACACCGGCGTCACTGTCAAGCCTCGAGTCGCTCTCTCACCCACACCGGCGTCACTGTCAAGCCACGAGTCGCTCTCTCACCCACACCGGCGTCACTGTCAAGCCACGAGTCGCTCTCTCACCCACACCGGCGTCACTGTCAAGCCACGAGTCGCTCTCTCACCCACACCGGCGTCACTGTCAAGCCACGAGTCGCTCTCTCACCCACACCGGCGTCACTGTCAAGCCACGAGTCGCTCTCACCCACACCGGCGTCACTGTCAAGCCACGAGTCGCTCTCTCACCCACACCGGCGTCACTGTCAAGCCACGAGTCGCTCTCTCACCCACACCGGCGTCACTGTCAAGCCACGAGTCGCTCTCTCACCCACACCGGCGTCACTGTCAAGCCTCGAGTCGCTCTCTCACCCACACCGACGTCACTGTCAAGCCTCGAGTCGCTCTCTCACCCACACCGGCGTCACTGTCAAGCCACGAGTCGCTCTCTCACCCACACCGGCGTCACTGTCAAGCCACGAGTCGCTCTCTCACCCACACCGGCGTCACTGTCAAGCCTCGAGTCGCTCTCTCACCCACACCGGCGTCACTGTCAAGCCTCGAGTCGCTCTCTCACCCACACCGGCGTCACTACACTAACCTCCAGCTGTTTGAGACCAGACCTCAACACTTTGGAACCAACTCACATTGCCACGAGACACCCAAGTTGAAGAGTTCAGTCCTCGACGCTTTTGTTTACACCCAAGTTCCATTTTCTGTTAACAGGTTGTTAGGTCATTTTCGCTATTTTGCTTTCTATATATCTTAAGATTAAGGTTTTTAACCCTTCAATTTATTTTGATTTTTACAAATCTTTAAACTTTTAGTTTATATTTCTTGCTGATGATGAAGTATTTTCTCAGAACGTTTGTTTGTTTTGACAAAAAAATAAAGAAAATGAATGTCTTCCTTTACGTTAACCTGCAACAACCAACAGAAATTAAAATAATATTACTTGATAAAAAAAATATAAAGAAATATATTAGTAGTTTTTTTTTAGTTTGTGTGATTAGCTTCGGTGATTTTCTCATTACATTTTTACATTATGAATTATATAATAATAATTATCACTTATACTAATTATTATTATTTATTATTATTATTATTATTTGTTTCTCATTATTTTTTTTATTATTATTATTATTATTTGTTTCTCATTATTATTTTTATTATTATTATTATTATTTGTTTCTCATTATTATTTTTATTATTATTATTATATATTTTTTATTTTATTATTGTCATTATTAGTATAATTTTAATGTTTAATAATAATAATATTATTATTATTATTATTAATAAATTCACCTCAACCACAAAACGTCGTCCAAGACTACAGGAAGACACTCAACACAGGAGAGTCACACAAACGTTTCTGAATTATTGCAAACATTTATTACAAAGTCAACAATGTACATTGACCATTAAAGCTCATTCGTAATAGGAAAAATATCTTTTACTATGCGCGGTACTTAATAAAAACTCCAAATCAAAAATTGGCTGAAAGATTAGAGAAAACCTAATTGTAAGTCAAATTGGATTATTTTAAATAATTTACACATCTGATAAATGACTGATGACAATAAATTAGGTGAATTAATATTAGCATGTAGTTTTCTATCAATGATTTTATGAATATTATAAACTTTATATATATATATATATATATATATATATATATATATATATATATATATATATATATATATATATATATATATATATATATATATATATATATATATATATATATATATATATATATATATATATATATATATATATATATTAAACAAAGATAAAAACTGTACAACGCCAACGTAAATTAATATATTATATATTAATATTATTAAAGTAAATATTAATAAAGTAAAATAAATACAATAAATAAAGTAAATATGAAGATACTAAACAATTTATACTTCTGTATTCCTGTTGAAAACATATATATTCACATTATAATAATACTAAATGCAAAATTATTCATATGAAAAATCTGTACATATTAATACAAAATTATACACACAAATCCAAAAGTATACTACATATGACAATGCAAAATCATACACTCGACCCAACAAAATGTACCGAAATGTGTGAACAAAGGCAATCAGGGCTGAACAAGAAGCTACTTTGAACTTTGAACAGAGAGCTGCACAGGGGATCACTAGGAGGTGTTCAGAGACGACTGTACAAATATGTACAACTGCGACACAGCAAGCGACTCTCACCTCTATGTCTTCGGTTCACAAGTTCGAAAACAAATTCCATCTGTTATATATATATATATATATATATATATATATATATATATATATATATATATATATATATATATATATATATATATATATATATATATATATATATAATTTCCATTAAAATTTATAAAATTTCACTACAAAACAAAAATAACAAAATATTAGTAACAGTAATGTCTTCTCACAGACATAATAACATAGGATAAAAAAAACACACTTATGTATTAGTGTATTTTTTGTATAGATTTACACCAAGTCTTTCGCACTCTCCTGAGTGCTTTGTCAAGGTCTGAGTGTGTGGTTAAGACCAGACTTACATCTCAACTTCTAATACCTCCTTTGTAAATCTTTACATAAAATACACAAATACATAAGTGTGTTTTTTTTAAAGAAAATATACTCTTTAAATTTTACTAAAAAAAACAAAGAATAACATTGTGTTGTCTTCGTACGCCATCTCAAACCCTCGATGACATTGCAGCATACAACAACAGACCTTATGCAACCTGTCGACAGAGGTCAGGGTCGCCCTTCATGTTACAAATCAAAATGAGATGGTTCACTGAATTTAATGTACAGAGGCAAGTCTCCCGGATGGGCTGAAGAGTTCAGGACGAGGCCACATATTGCCCCTTTTTCTTCCCTGGTCTTATAGTCGGAATTGCTTATATATATATACATTAAACTTTTTTAGTGCTAATTTTTATCTCCAGGAGTCTTGGAGCCAATAGAAACCAAGGACTCGAGGAGTCTTGGAGCCAATAGAAACCAAGGACTCGAGGAGTCTTGGAGCCAATAGAAACCAAGGACTCGAGGAGTCTTGGAGCCAATAGAAACCAAGGACTCGAGGAGTCTTGGAGCCAATAGAAACCAAGGACTCGAGGAGTCTTGGAGCCAATAGAAACCAAGGACTCGAGGAGTCTTGGAGCCAATAGAAACCAAGGACTCGAGGAGTCTTGGAGCCAATAGAAACCAAGGACTCGACGAGTCTTGGAGCCAATAGAAACCAAGGACTCGAGGAGTCTTGGAGCCAATAGAAACCAAGGACTCGAGGAGTCTTGGAGCCAATAGAAACCAAGGACTCGACGAGTCTTGGAGCCAATAGAAACCAAGGACTCGAGGAGTCTTGGAGCCAATAGAAACCAAGGACTCGAGGAGTCTTGGAGCCAATAGAAACCAAGGAGTCGAGGAGTCAATGGCCGTCCAGGACTCGTCCGGAACTCAATAACCAAAGTAGGAAAATCCCATCACAGTGGCAGCTATCGTTCGAATTTGGCGCCAAAATATCTGAACAGTTGCGAATTCTTCAGTATTTGGCGCCAAAATATCCGACAATCCTGTCATATATAAATTAAATATAAATATATATATATATACATATATAAATTAACCAAGTTTTAATGAGCTAAATATATATCTGTCTTTGGTTTCCACTTTTGGCTTATGTGGTCACATGTTTCCCTCCGTGTTTGGCTCAGCGATGCGGCCGCTATCCACTGATGCGCTTCCTCCATGGCATGGCGGGACGCGGCGCTGCCACACTTACGGAACAGGTTGAACACTGACCTATAATTCAACATATAAACAAAAAAATCTCTCGATATGTCTGGTTGATATGTGGTTTTCTTGAGTAATATGTGTGTAAATGGGAAGGAACATGATGAGATATGAAAAGGAAAGAAAGAAGTGGGAAATATAACGTTTTCTATATAAAAAATTGTTTCCCTCGATTACGGCAGCAACTCAAGCATTTCTTCGTCTC